AAGCTTTTCACCCTCAGGCTTATAGAGAAAGAGGATGGGCTGCGCATTAGTTTTGTGGACCTGTGCCCATTTCTGGTATACTGAAGGCTGCAAGACAGACCACGGCGTCATAGCAGGAGTTTATGGCATACAACCCAAAAGGCTCCTTTTCAACAGCGTAGGGCCGAGGTGCACGCCATTAACTATGTCCGAGGCGGTATGTAGAAAGTCAAACAAAAAACAAATCTACATACACTCGAACAAGAGAGTAGCGCTCCTCGCTCTTAGAGCGCACGATGTGACCGCGAAGCCGGTGAGGGACTGCCTTCAGCTTTTAATACTTATCGCCTCCAGGAAACGGGCATACCTTATATGCTCCGCATTAATTTTGAGGATTAGCTTCAATAATTAATCGGAATCAACTGCAGTTGATCTGGATCAACGCTTCCGTCTGTCTTTACTTTTAGGGAGTACCTGACCTCGCTTGAATAAACTAAATAACTCATCTGATTCGCAGTATGCTTGGGGATGTTGAGGAGAAATCATTTCGAGGCTTCCACAAGGCGAAGACTGAAGACTCTTGGCTCGCACTTTATAATTATAACCAATCCTTTGTGATTAGCTCGTGGCGTTTCATCGATTAAGTAGTGGTATCTTTATCGAAACCTTACTTATCAAAAAATAGTTTAAGGCATTTTTAACTATAATTCATCGCTTAAAAATAATAAAGATTTAAAGTAAACTTTTAATGGGGTTTCCACAATACTGGCCAGTAGAGTATAAATTCACTTATTGTTACTGCTCTAAGCATGCGTGGCGTATCTACATGGGCCTCTTTATGTAGCAGCGTGTTCTGCCTTTTCTGTAAAAACGGTTGCCCTCAATTTGTGTCACTTTCCCTTAAAACCGCAATTAACGAAAATAAATAATTTGTATACTTAATCGAATTGAATCAATACTTAACACCAATCTTTTCTTATTTTTTCTTCCTCATCTCTACTTCAGGCCATTACGACGTTAAGTAATCAATGATTCATTGAAATTCGACCGAAATTTCTGCTGGTTAAATAACCTATAGGTGGTTTTTTTTGATTATTTGCTCTCTTATTTTACTTTTACAATATTTAATTTGAAGGATTGAAAAACAAAACAAAGAAAATTTTCACAAAAAAAGATGGAAAACAAAAAATCGAATGGCCGCAATGTTCATGCGTTGTATTTGTGTATGTATGTACCCAGTAGAACTTGGGAGCATCGTACGATTGCTCGGTGAGTACTCCCTTGGGAGTATACGAATACTCCCCATTGCTCCCTATGCTTCTGTGTATAAGCATGTAATTTTGTATACTCCCTTTAACATTGGATGTCCTAGGAGGGGGAGTAATCCCTTTTACCTCCTAAACAAGCAATCGGGGAGCACACACAGAATTATCATCCCACAAACCTCCTAATGGAGCAATACGGGAGTACTCCCTTAGTTACCTCCCAGAAACCTCCCAAAAAGACAACAAGGGAGTGCACATAGAAAACATCCCACATTCCTCCCTAACGAGTAGTAAGGGAGTACTCCCATAAGAGTCATCCCGGAAGGCTCCTGTACGAGTAATAAAAGAACGTCTCTATACTCCCGAATTCCTCCTCATGGAGTAATGGAAGACTACTCCCACATTGCTCCATAACGAGCATTTTACATAAGCTAAAAAGATTTTGCTTTTTACGCAATTCATTTATTTAATTTTTTAATCATATACATATATACATACTTATGCACATAAATACAAGATTTAAGCTGATTATTACAAAAACAGAAAAAAACATAAATAATTATTATTACAATATTAACTAAAATTAGAAAACGGATATCGAACAGTAATGACAAACTCAAACATTATACATACATACATATATACTTTTATACAATCCACAAGATAAGTGTGGCGAGGATGATTTCCTGGAAAAGTTATTTAACTTGTATTCACCCGGGAGTGGCCCAAACTATTCACGCCTTGAAAAATTTCCGGCTGTACCCAGTAAGTTTTCTGGGCGGGGCAAGATTGCAACGCTAGAACGTAGACGCCTTAATTGCTGGCCCCGTAATCTGAAATATATTTTGAGTTAAATAATACAATCATTTATAAGTTTAAACAAATGCTATCATACATACCAGCGGCTCTAAAGATTTGCTCTCCAATTAATTTCATTGTTTCCTGATTTAAATTTTTCAATAAGAAATACATATGTATATAAGTATGAATGTACACATCAGTTATCTGTTTTGCTTTCTTCATACATTTTCCAAAAACACAAAATTATGTTGAAGAAGGTGCGTATAGCTCTCCTATCAATTAAAAAGAATACTCCTGGATTGCTCGCTTAGGAGACATTGATTTTTGCTCCTAAGCGAGTAATAACGGAGTACAAAACCAACAAATCTCGCTTATACCTCCGAAATCATGTATCCCGGAGGATACTTTTATTGCTCACTTGGGAGATCTCCCATTATACTCCTAAGTGAGTAATACAGGAGTGCAAAACCGACTAATCTCGCTTATTGCTCCCAAATCATGCCTCAGGGAGCATTCTTTAATTGCTAGCTTAGGAGATGTCCCTATTGACTCCTAAACGAGTAATAAGGGAGTAAAAAGTCCACAAATCTCTCTTATTGATCCGAAATCAGGTCAAGGGGAGTACTCTTTTATTCCTCACTTAGGGAGATCTCCATTCAAGTTCTAGTGGGTACATATGGATGTATGTATGTACATATGGATGTATGTATGTATGACCTCCTGAAGCTTTGTAAGATTTGCAAACAATTAATTTTTATAATCTCTTTTCACTCAGCTGGCAATTTTTGCATTTAAAAGCGGAGTGGGCAATAAAGTGCTGGCAATTATTTTTCCTTGTTTTCTGGAAAACGTTTTTATTTTCTTCTTATGCAATTTTTTCCGGGTTTTACTACTTACGTAAAGGCGTTTCATAACTGTTTGTTACATTGGGTTTAAATACGACTGCGTACCTTCGACCTTATGTTAAGTTTTACTTCTATGGTGTATTATGGAACGATTTTCCGTCATCCCCTGTCAAATTTGGTTTGGAGGCAAACCGATTTCGTTGTTGTGCCATCTTCAGTGTCATTTTTCGTTTTCGGAACGAAACCAATCCAAATTTGACAAGGGATGACGGAAAATCGGTCCGCAATACATCACCCACCCACCCTGTCGGAAACACAAACAACCAAAAAGAAGGTCTACTTATGTATGCATATCCATTTTCAATAAGATGGACCAAAAGGCTTGGAGAAATATACCATCTGAAAACAATTTGAAGTGTAGCAAAATAAAAGGAAGAGTAATCCTAATAAGATGGCAGCTTCTGATAAGTAGAAGAAGAAGATACGTAAATGGATCTATAAAAATATTTTTCGTATATTTTGCGTACCAAAAATAGGCTGCTACGCAGGGACACACATAGACTACGAAATGAAGGCCCGTTATGATATCACGACTAAGAGTTTATAGTTCCCCTTGGTAAACCATTTTGAATCCTTGACGAAACTCGTCAGGCATCTAGGGTTTATATCTCCCAATTTGTCATGGTCACTAAAGAAGGAAGACCCCAGAGAAGGTGCAGAACTGTCTCCTCCTCATAGTTCTTGCAACTTGTGCAGCATCTATGGTAAGGCACTCCGAGCCGTTCTGCGTGGAAAATAATCAACAAAAATTCTTCTACTCAGTGCGAGGCTGTATCCCCAGGGCTTAGAGAGTGACCAGGTTGGAGTTTGTACCGAAGGCCTTGGCTTATGCCTTCCTCGATAACGAAGTAACTTCTTAAAATATCCCTCCGGGAAAACGTCAGATCTCTAGTTAAACTTTGGGGTTGAAACCTACCTAATTAACTTTATTTACCGCTTGTTCTGTGACAGAATTGGCGCTGCGGATTAGGGCAGCATCCAACGTAAGCAAAAACACGTTTGTTTGCGTGTGGTCGATAAAGAACTACTAGAGGAGGCAGAGATCTGGACCTCTGGCCTAGCATCGACAATAAAACATCCGACGCACTCATTTAGCTAGAACGCCCTTACTAAGGCTCGGTATTGCGGGCCAATGATTAATGGGAGAGCATTCTAGCAGGATGGGTTTGCCGGTCAATTACTTCTGCCGTAGTTGCCGCGCCGTGGACAAAATCGAGAGTATGAAATACTATCACTTCCCTGCTCTTTCGTGGGCGAAAATGCGCTCATTTCACAACCACCTGTTCATTTGTCTGGCCGACCTAACTGAAGGAGACCACGAATTATCGAGTTTTCTGAACCTAACCAACGGGTTCTACTTTCACGTGAACGCACCGGTTCGAATTCGAGATGTCAACTGGTATCACAACGGGCCTACTGGGCAGCCGCTTCAACCCAACCTAACGTAAGTACACCGAAAGGGGTCAAGGGATTTTCTAGGGGCCGCAAAATCGGAACTTTTAATTTTGGTGTTGAAATGACACTGTCCGTTATGTATTGAAGAATAAATATCACACAGGATTCTTACTGTCACAGTTACTTAGAGTCTTCCCAACACTTTTTATTCAGCTACCCAGATTTTGCGAGGACTGACATCTGGAAACTGCGAAGCTTTGCCTTTGGCATACAGCATTTTTCGCTATAGGTTAGTGTTCACAAACGACAAATGCTTATGGTGCAAGTTTATTTGTGACAGTCACCTGAACCTTACCTTCAGCTACTTCATCCTAACCGATACTTATGTAGAAGATGCTTAAGTGCTTAATTAAAAAAACTTGTGTAGAAAACGGGGTATGGGAGGGCAGCTGCAATCAGTATAGAGAACATCTGGTACCATGAGATCAATCAAAGCATAATTCTGGGCTCTGTGGATGTATTTGTTATAATATGTATATCCACGATCATATCTATTTACTAACCGAAACCCCCTCATATTTACCAAATATTTCTTCTATACGCTCATAATTTTATTGACAGCAAAAGTAATATCCTCTTTTCACTTCTTTTTCAGCGCTCTCAGTCATCTTCCTTTCACAAAAGTTTGCGCATGCGGCCAGCATCGACACAGATGATGACTATGAACCGCGCCATTTGACCAACGACCAATGTAAGTTACGATGTTCCTAGCTAAACAGAGCATCGATAATATTTAGTTAAGCACAAAGTTTGGATTCATATCTACTTTTAAGGCAGCGTCTTTTTTTCAGTCGCAATCGGACTCACCATTCTCACAAGACGTCCCGAGGGCTGAATATATTAGACGAGTAGGACGCTTGGATACCAACAAATGGAAACAAACCAATCGCTTGAAGATTAGCACTGACTCAAGTTCTTCGGACTCTGCTTCCGAGTCAGAATCTGAGAGCCGTGATGTCAACTCAGACTACGATGACGACGATGATGATGGCGATGAGTACTACGAAGACAGCAGCGAGGAGAGCAGCACCGACAGTAGCAGCAGTGAGTCAGCGCCACGTTTATTATCGCAGTCAGCCTTCAATCGCATTTCGGAAACATTGGGTGCATTGAACACTATGGGTCACCTGCTGGTGGACATAACGCGCGGTGGCCATGAACAAGAGCCAGAAACAGCAGAAGCGTCAGCGGCGAGTGAGGTTGGTGGTAGCGGTTTGGGTGAGTCTGGTACTAGCGTTGTGAGCACCAGAAGTCCTACGAGTACTACTACGACAACGACAGCAGCACCGTCTAGAAAATTCAGTGACATCGGTCCAACAGCAAAGATTATAGCGCCACTGCCACATCAAAGTAATTCGATTACAGAGCAAAAGGTGACGGGATTGCTGACGGCGGATAGGCGTGTCGATGAGCCACTCACACCTGTGAAGCCAATGTTTGTCGAAACCAAGGAGACGAAGAAGAAGAAAAAGAAGAAGAAGAACCGAAACAAGGTTAAGAAACCAGCGACAGCAGACTCAGCAACCGGACAATCGCAACAACTTAACAAAGCGCCCACCACGCTGAGACCCACCTCGATCGTGCCGCCCACCACCAGCACCCACATTGCAAGCGATCGCGTTGATCAAGTGGCAGTCCCCACTGAAGATATATCGGCCAAAGATGTGGAGAACTATTGCAAAACACCAAGCGGACGTCCAGGTCGCTGCGAAGATTTGAGCAGCTGTCCAGCTTTGCTGCTAAATTTGAGTAGCCTACGCGAGTCGCTCTGCTTTAAGAGCCTATTTGTGCCAGGTGTTTGCTGCCCGCTGCCGGAGTCCTCAACAGTATTGACAACGCAACGCCCACTCAAGCTGACTACAAAAGCACCGACCACGGCGCTTACAACGAAGCGGCCCACAACACAACGTCCAGCGTCCTCACCGAGTTTGGTGCTGATACCACAACTCAAGCCTTCAACAACAACCACAACAACGACCACACCAAATCCGCTAGGAAATGAACTTGAACTCATAGGCAACAACAATATTATTGATCCAGAAGAGTGCGGCCAACAGGAGTACTCGTCGGGACGCATTGTGGGTGGCGTTGAAGCGCCGAATGGGCAATGGCCGTGGATGGCGGCGATCTTCTTGCATGGCCCCAAACGTACTGAATTCTGGTGTGGCGGCTCACTCGTCGGCACGAAGTACATTTTGACGGCGGCGCATTGTACGCGGGATTCGCGGCAGAAACCGTAAGAAAGAATGTGAAATTATTTGATTTGAAATATCTCTGATTAAAAGCATTCTTTCATAGCTTTGCAGCGCGACAATTCACTGTGCGATTGGGCGATATCGACTTGTCAACCGATGCGGAGCCCTCAGCTCCGGTCACCTTTGCTGTGAAGGAAGTGCGTGCGCATGAACGGTAAGGATTTTGAAGCTTTAAAAGAAATTATTTTCGCTAAATCTTGTACTCTTTTCGTCCCTTAGTTTCTCACGCATTGGCTTCTACAACGACATCGCTATTTTGGTGCTTGACAAGCCGGTGCGTAAGTCGAAATACGTCATACCGATTTGTTTGCCGCGTGCCGGACGTGCGCCGCCCAAAGAACGCTTGCCTGGCCGACGTGCAACTGTGGTTGGTTGGGGCACAACCTACTATGGGGGCAAGGAATCCACGACGCAACGGCAGGCAGAGTTGCCCATTTGGCGCAATGAAGACTGCGATCGTTCGTATTTCCAGCCCATTAACGAGAACTTTGTGTGTGCCGGCTACTCGGACGGTGGCGTGGATGCGTGTCAGGTAACCTCTTTAGTGTTCTTACCTTGAATTATTACTAATCCGTGATTAAAATTTTTCACAGGGCGACTCGGGTGGTCCACTTATGATGCGTTTTGACTCGCGTTGGGTACAACTCGGCGTCGTGTCGTTTGGCAACAAATGCGGTGAGCCTGGCTATCCTGGCGTTTACACGAGGGTTTCGCAGTACTTGGATTGGATACGGGACCATACGCGTGACTAAAGCGGCACAGTGTTTACTTATTAAAGATGTTAATTTAGTTCTAAACGGTTTCTACATACATATTTAATTTAAACAATGTTACGAATCACTAGTCTACATAATATTTTATGTGCGTCGCGTATTTAGTCTTGATATTTATTAACATTTCCGAAAATCATTGTAGTTTGTACATATATAATGCATAAATTATTGACAACTTAATATACGATAATTTTAAAATTACTTAGAGTTATCGGTATTATCTTCTTTATTGATTTTCGAAAATCAAGTTTATATTCAGAGTTAGTCTTAGAGTTTTTAAGCAGCTCAAGTTTCGGATAAAATATGGCAGGAACTAATTCGCCAGTAGTCGTTTTGGATCCATCTCTATAGATGTAGCGATCGTATCGAACGAGCTTCTTCAACCCGTCCTGCTTTCTTTTCTATGTCGGTTCTTCCCGGTTCAGTCTTTGTGCGACGAAATTTTCCCTCAACTCCTTTGCAATAAGCCAATCAGTTCCAGGCTTCGAATCTTGCCGGTGCTGCACTTCGAGTGGTCTAAAGTTCTCCAGTTTTACATAGGCAGGATTGTCTCTGTTCACTCTTGACTTTTGTAATGCACCCATTTACACAAAAATAGATAAAATAGAACATTATGACTGCTCGCAAAGGTCCAAATTTTTGACCCGTACAGAACTTCTTTTTTTTTTTTGCTGCGAGCTTTTAGAAATGAATAGCTTTCCTGAGCTTTTCTTCAACATTCCTGCTTATCAGCTTATTTTCTTGCTGGCTTGAGCATGTTGCACGCATGGCTGACGTGGCTATAGTGAAAAGATCCTTCGACTCGGCACCCGTAGAAAGGCAACGACAGAAGGCGCGCCCACTAAGCAATGGCAAGACCAAGTGCAGAAAGACATGCCTGAACTTTGGATTTACAACTGGCGCAACCAACGCAAAGGAGAGAAGCAATTGACGTAGTGTTTTGGTTTCGGCCCAAATAGACGGACAGTGGTCGAGCCAGATATGCTGACGTATCCAATGAGTGTCCAGCATGTGGAAATTGTTGAACACTTACAATGGAGTTATGTTCTTGTTCTTATTTTTAAATTTAATTTGTTTACTATGCAAAGGATATTTTATTAAAGCACACACACAACAAATTTTGCTGTCGGACTCAATTAGACTGATATCTGGAGTTTTTTTTTTGTGGACACTAACGGATTTATGCTCTCGATGTGCGTTATGAATTTATGAAATCCGGTAGTCTTCTATATTTTTTTTTTCGAGTCAACCAATACAAATGGTAGCAAGCTTGGTTTTTTTGTTGAATATATTTTGCAGTCAATGGTGACAGTTCAAAAATGTATGAAATCATACAGAATGAAAAAAAAAACCCCTTACAATTCCCTTATAACAACTCCTCGGCAGTCTCTCTTCTCTATAGAAGAAATAACTACGTATATGAATATAATTTTTACAGCGCTAATAATAAATAAATTAGGTGTCAGTAAAAACCATACAGTAAATTTCATCGGATATTTTGAAAATATTTTATTTTATTTAAATTTTATTAATTTTTAAAATTGAAATTTTGATGAGAATTCAACGATTTTTTTGATAATTACAAAATTGGAAACTCAGAGTTTTTATTAAAAATTTTAAAATTTAAATAGAACATAATATTTTCACATATTTTCAGTATAGATACATATGTATGTACAGACATCTTGTACAGTCTTGCTTACTGCACGCTTTACAGGGGAGATCCTATGCGATCCAGTTGCATTGCCTTTACTATTTAGAAATAAATATATGTACGTATACAATGAAACTTTGATAAAATGAAAAACTCAATATAACAAACTTTTTGCTGCTTCTCGTAAAAAACCCCGTTTTAACTAAATTTTCCCTGCAAAAATGCTCCATAGGTATACGCAAGATGTTTTGGCGTGAAAACTTTCGGAAAATGTCGACGGAGAAAGCCCTGTTAGCAATAGCCTCTATATAAGGAAATGTCGACTCAAAAGCCTCTTCATAACGAATTTTGAATGAATATGTTGACGATTAGAGTCCCCTAAAAAAAAAAAAAATTATGCTCATAAAGATTTTTTTTTTAATTTTTCTTTGCATCGAGGTTTTGACATTCCATAAATATAACGAAATTATAGATATAAAGCGGCATTTTTCAAACCCCTCAAGTTCGTTATATCGAGATTCCACTGTATGACTAGAGTATGATCACTTGCTTGGAGCAGGGACTATAAGAACAAGATTAAAATAAATATATGCGTACATATAAAAAGAATAAATCCCAAAGAGTTCAAATTTTTCAACATCAAACGAAATACAATCTGCGATTTGTTTAAATTCGTAAATTCACTGTGCCAATTTTTGCTGTGGCTCCATTTACATTTTGTATAGCATATATATATATATATATGTACATACGTATACATAAATACATATAACAAAAAAATGTCCACTTGCTTAACCTCCATCAGCGGTCGTTAGCTCTAGAAGTTTAAGCAAAAAAAAACACATAAAATTTGCAACACCGGTATAAATTAAGCTAATTGAATTACATACATACATAGTAGAGAATAGTACAAACATAAATTCTCGCATGTCATGGAGGAAAAAGTCCCTTTGATTTGTCAAGATCAATCAACACCAGCAATTAGATGGGGAAAATACCAGCGGCAAAATTAAATAAAAAAGCACAGAGAATCACACAAAAACCAATGTTTCAAAAGAAATGAACAATGCAAAAAAAAAACCAAGAACAAGCTTGCCGGTATTGGCAACTGGTTGGCGGCAGAGTTGCCAAAGACACACACAAGGCGAATTTACATGGGATTTATGAGTTTATATCAGACATGATAAAGCTAAAATCAGGGACGGTAAAACAAAAAATTAAAATCAGCATGCAATCAATATTTTATGCTTTTTATTTTTTTCGCTTGAAAATAATAATTACTATTGAGTTTTCTTTTTTCGATAAACGGAAATAATTACTTTTTTTGATTTTTATTTTTTCGCTCAGAGATAATAATTACACAGGTTAAAAAAAAGTTTATGCATATTAAACCAAAACTGGTATATCCCAATGTTATTTGAGACGCTGAATGCGTATCCAGGATCCGTTAGCCCCCATCACGTCAGGTTCGTGGTCAGTTCAAGGTCAAATAGGGAAAAATTCATTTTAATTCGAAAGAAAATAAGAGCAAAAGGCAGACCACGCCCATATTTTCTAATTTTTTAGTTGTTTGCATACAATAATTAAAAATATTTTTTTTTACCAAAGGTCCAAATGCGAGCTTCGAAGGCCCGTTTAGCGATTTCGGAGGCTAACTCTTTGTCTCTTAAACAAGTTGGTTTGGTCCAATACCCAGCAAAGTGCTATACAGTGTTATAACTGAGTTTAAAAAAATGCTTTTCTTTTTAAAACAATATAATCCAAAATTTTTTTACATTTAAATTAGTTACAGATGAAATGGAAAAAATTTACATAAGTATGAAAAATTAAAAAAAAGAAAAAATTAGGTCGGTTCTTATAAATTAAATGTAATTAAGAAAAAAAAATATATTGTTTTTTATTTTAATTTTAAATTTTTAAATTAAAAATAAATAAAAATAAAAAAAGAAAAAAATAATAGTATAAGATCATAAAAATTAAATGAAATTAAAAAAAAATATTTTTCTTTTTAAAACCAAAAAATCTAAAACTTAAAGGAAAATCAATTTTAAAAAGAAATTATATTTTAATTAAAAAAAAAAACAAAATAAGTTTCAAAAAATTCGATATAATTAAAAATATATATTTTTTCTTTTTAAAAGAACAAAATATAAAATCTACATTAAAAAAGGAAAAAATACAATACAAAAATTAAATTAAAATTTAGTTAATAAAAAGGAAAAAATTTCGTTGCTCTAGGATTCGAATCACGGTCTCTGAAACTTGTACTTTATTACACTAAAATGGAAGTGGCTACAAAACGGCATAACAGAAAATTCTCTAAAGATATTATAAACCTATGCATTGCAGGTCATTAGGATAGCGCACCTCTTTGTTGGCATTTTTTTTAAATATTTAAAATTTTAAAATGGGATTTACATGTAGAATATACTATACTTTTATACAAAAATTAATGAATATTAAATAAACAAAAAGAAAACTGTAAATGCTAAAAATAAAAAGGGGACGCTATTAAAATGACGAGGAATGTATGTATCTCGTCAAGTCAAAGAATACAATTTATTAAGCGAAAATTAGCCATAGTTTTTTTTTGTGCTGTGGCTACCCTGCCAGCAACAGCTGCTTGCTTCGCTAGTGCGCCAACAGTGCCGCCCTTTAGTAGCTAGCAGCCCCACAAAGCTGCCGGTCGAACGTAATACCGGCGGAATAAAACGCTCTCATACGCTCAGCGGCTGCCGGTCGCGCGATTCACTTTCGATACTTATCGCTTCTTTCTAATTTATTTATTAAAGAGCTATTAGTTTTTAACGACAAACGGGAGCGGGAAAGCCAAAAGTGAACGCAAAAAATTTGGAATCAGAAGCCAATAGTCCGTGCACATAAATCACCTTGAAATAAAAAATGTGAGTGTAAAGAAGTAAAAAATTTATAAAAAATATTGCAGAGAAAGCCAAACGGACTTGAGGTGACAGTGAATGGTAGACAGTGTGTTTACGTCACAGTGTAAGTTGTTGTGAAACATGTATGTATGTATGGTATTAAACGCCTGCGATTGTTGGTGGATGTAAACAAAAATTTTCCAAAGAATAAATCGATATACCTACACGGGAATGGAAAAACGTTGTGCAAAGTAAATGTGTGATTCTATTCTATCTACATACATATCTCAAGGTCCGCTGCAATCGTACAAACGCACGCACACGTATGCATATACGAGTATGTACACGGGCACATAAGTACACACTTAATTATTTTCACATTGAATCATTCGCGTGCTCCCAGCTTTTGTTTTTGTTATTTGTAGCCCCTTGGCCCCCACCAAAAGTTTGCCGGTTCCGTAAATTCAAGTTCAAAGTGCTTGTGTGTGTGTGTAAATGTGTTGCGTTGACGAGAATTTCCACTTTCTCTGAGCATGAGAATGCATTAATGTCAAATTGATAACAGCTTGTCAGTGGGTAAGTAGATATTTAGGTACATACTTACATATATGTTTACATGTTGGCATGACAACGCTAGTTTAGCGATAAAGCGCGAGGAAGGCATTTTGTTTGCACCCTAAAACTAAAATAACTAACAAGCAGTGTAAAGCAAATTGATTGCAAAATATGCCAATATGTATGTATGTGATGAAAAAATTGTACATTGCTCTGACGAAGTAAAAGAATTTTGTTCAGTGTCTAAATACAGCTCTGTGTTAGTGTTGCATATTTTTGCCGTGAGATGGCGCTATTTATTTTAAACGTCGCTAATAGGCTACAGAGGGCGCGCGCTGCTGTGCCAGAATACGAGAGTAGCCTGATAAGTTTCTAACAAATTATCAAAAAGAAAAAAAACAGTTTTTTGAGTTTATCAGCTGACAGAGTTTGAGTCATATTCCTATTCTGATTGTGTAAGGACCGTTTTCTTCAGATGCTTTTAAAATTTATCTGCCCTTCAAACACATTGTTTGAGAACAAAATTTGACCACCAACTCAGAATCAACAAAATTTATGTTTAAAGGGCAGATACATTTTAAAGGCTACTTGAGAAAACGGCCTTTACGAAAGCAAATTTAGGTTTTCTGTGAAAACAGATAAAGAAAACTATTTACCAGTGTTCAAACAGTCTCAGATTAAAGGGGAACAAACATTCAAAGAAGAGCCGGGAGGAAGTTAATCCAATATCTAGCCTGTAATATCTTGTGACGTACGAACCCTTGTCCGAATCTCTTCGTACAGCTGCGAAAGATGTAGTTGGTTGCTGCCACCCTAGCAGGAACAACTGGTATTTCGAAGTGCGCTGTAGGCTGCTAAAAAGCCACCCTTCACTCAATAGCCACGGAAAGGAAAGAAAGGTAGGAAGACGTGAGTGTGAACGAAAATTTTATTAGAAAATAAAGTAGAAATCAAACGGCTTCAGGACTGGAGCTAATTCCTGCAGAAACGAAGATGGAAAATTGGTTACAGATTAAACTTTACATATCGTTGGTGCTACTGCAAAACGGTCTATGTCTATTAGTACCCGTGGCACTTAGATGGCCTCTTTCTTGCACCGGAATGCATCAGCAAATCGTTGTAACCTAATAAACAAATGACAAAACTGCCCACCTTTGGCTGATGAAGATGAACGATTGCCAGAAGCGATCAGATAGGGGTAACAGATTAACCAAGCACCAGAGGTAATAAATGACATAGAAGTTTTTGCAGTGTCACCGACGATATGAAGGAATAACTTCTCATGCTTTAAAATAACGACATGTAGGTATGCCATCTACTACTTAGACTTGTACAACCCATACCAATGCCAACCAGGTGATAACTGCGACCACGCGGCTTAAGAAAAACAAAGTCCCTGTAGCCGACGGAAAACCGGCAGAGCTGTTCAAAACTGGCGGTGAAGTGCTGACTAACCAGTCGGATGTTAATGGGAAAATGGACGGATGAATACATGCCCGAATAATTTCAGAATACTCAAACTTTCTCAACTGGGAAAACGCTTTACAAGTCGACACAAACAAGCTGCTCTACGAAGCCAAAACTAAATTTGCGATCCTTGCTAAACTAATAGGCTATACAGAGCGACGTTCAGCGCAACTTCAGCTTATGAAGATATGTACCATTAACATTGTCGGCCTAAAAACCAAATTCATACATGCCGCATCCTCCGTTTTAGAGTGGGAGGCAAAAGTTGGCAGGAGACATTGTACCTCTGGCAATACACATACATGTTACAGTTAGAAGATACAACTTTAAAGTAGTGAAGGACTTTGTTTGCTTAGGGTCCAGCATTAACTCCTCCAATAATGTCAGCCTGGAGATAAAGCGAAGGATAACTCGTCCAAATAGATGCTACTTTCAACTCCGGAGGCAATTAAAAAGCAGAGCCTTTTCATGACGAACAAAAAACTACCTCTATAAATCGCTTATCATGGCTATTCATTTATATTTGGGGCTTTCTAGAGAAGTACTCCACACAAGATCTAGAGCCCTGTTTATGGGGGCTCCGGGTACCGAAGAAGAGGGAATAAAAGTACAGAAAACCCTGTTTACATTTAGAGACGTTTTTTTAGGCTCAGCACATACCGAAAAATGATTGTAGAGCCAATTGAGATACGGAAGTGAACAGTGGAAACAGATTACATGGTTCGTGTATACTTCCTGACCAAAATCAAGGAAAAAGGGTACCGAAAGCGCATGAAAATTGAACATTGGATCCTATTTGAATATTTAGTTTGTGGCTGATGAATGATCTATAGTCACATCCAAGCGAAACTATATACAAGAAAGTACATAAAATCTTAACAATCGGCACAAAGGCATAAAGGCACTGTCAGGAAAACCCAGACCCGACGTTGCGGGGCATCCATATTAGAAGGCTAGGCGAGTTAAACAAAGCACGTCAGTCGTTTCTCTACTGCGCCAACTAATGCCAATTGGAAATGCCAAGTGCAGCCAAGTCCTTCTCTATTTGGTCTTTCCATCGCAGTGGGAGCCTTCCTCTGAAACGAAAACTAACAGGAAACAGAAGAGCAAGGGGTATACTCTACATATATTGCGAATCGAGACTCAATACGATTCGTAAGGCGACACTGACTAATACATATTCATAGGGCCAAGTAGTCGAATCCGAATTACTTGCTTTTCGAATCGCAATACAGAGTAGACCTCCAGCTTTTTTTGACGATGTTTAGCTTTAACGAGGAGCAGGAGTACGATACTAGGAGAATATGAGTTCCCATTCCATTAAAATTCACAAAGTACTCACATTTAACAATCATGAGGTTTGGCTTTAACATAGCCATAAGAGGCTTAGGGTACCAAAAGGGCCCCTAATTGGTTTTGAGCCACAAGTATTTCGCCAACTTATACTGTAATACCCCAAAGTATGAAATGAATTTGTAAAAACATAAAATAAGAAATCACTTTAAATGGCAAGCGAGTGCCGTGTGTTATGCTTCATAGTTCAATTTTTGTATTGGAATTTTGTTAAATGGCTTTAATGCCCCTTTATGCCACCCAAATTACTGAAGGCCCAGTAGAGGATAAATTTAAAATGCGCGAACGCACGGTTGTAATAACAATTGCACAGGACTTTTTCACAATAAATATTTTATTGCAGCAGCTGTTAGCCTATCTGCTTTATGACGTTGACCACTCCATTTAACGGACCAGGTTACCAATTGTTTACATCTGTTCCAGATTTAATGCCTCTGGGCAAGCGGTAATGTACAGTTTATAAGGACCTGTGCACAAGCGTACAAATGAAAAGAAAATAAACACATTGCCAAATCAATCTTGTAACCATTTACGGAATTTTATTACCTTGATATGTTGCCAAAACAATTTTACTGCTCTGCGATTTCCAGCATGCTTGTCGGTGTTGTTGTTAGGGTTTTTCTTTATTTTTATTTGGGCCTCTTATTTTCCAATTCGCACAATTTTTTCACTTCATTTATCATGGCTGGCACACACACATACTCCGGCACACACCCATATGTACATAGGCAGACAAATTAAGTTAAATCCGTGGCGATTGGAAGCTTGGCAGCTGATGCTTCTCCTTTTCGTTCACTCTCTCTGTGAAAATGAGGTCTGCGAAGATGAGTAAAGGTATGCATTATACATGTGTGTTTGTAGCAGACAAGAAACAATAAATAGTTTAAGGTAAAGACAAGGGTAAAGTAAAATAAAAAAATAATGATAGAATTTATGTTAAACATAAAAATTTACATTTATACGTATAAGAATAAAAATAAAGAAAATAAAAAGAAAAAAATCAGTCTTCTGTCAAACGTCTCGGCCTCTGATCGACTTCACCGCGTCGAGAACATGGCAATGTGAAGTGGCAGACATCAGCGCAGATGTATTTTCTAAACCAATTGATTGCCTTTTGATCAAGGACGGAGAAACCGAATTGAAGACGGATAAAACGTTCGTTCGTGACTGGTTTGACGTGCACGGAAGAACTAAAACAAAGGCCTTACGTAGCATCAGGCATTGCAAGGAAGGTTTGACGTTGAGACAGGATAGCTGAGAATTTTCTCGCTCGACTCGAAATCCTGTCCAAATAAGCAGCTCTTCGTTGCCTTGAAGTAAGATTCCATCTCCCAATCATTTCGTACTGCTGCGAAAGGCTCGACCGTCGACCATGCAGAAACACTGGACTTCGAAAAGTGCAGCCAAAGGAAAAAGACCAATAAAACTCTGAGTGAGAAGAGCTTGAGATGCTGGCAAACAGGAATGCAGTTTGAAAATCTTAAAAAGTTCAAAATAAGTTAAAGACCGTGGTTGATCTCTGCAAGAACGAGGATTTGGTTTGAGTAGATTAGTATATTAGGGAACGGATAGAAACGTGGTTTAGCCGATCACATCGGAGGCGTAGAGGCGGTGGAACGCATGTAGTTGCTATTAAGCGTAATGTGGTC